GTTTGACAAGGCTGTTAAAAGGTTAAGTCTACAGTAAACTGAACTTTTTAATAAAAAAGTGTTCTCTCTTTCCATCATGTGGACTGCCCAGCTCAAACTTAAGATTGTCAGGCTTGGCAGCAAGCACCTAGCCACTCTTCTTTTTCTGACCTAGAATGCTGATTCCTGCCTCTACCTCTCAAGGGCTGGAATTTCAGGCATTTGCCACTAGGCTTGACTTTCAATTAAGATTTTGTACTCACTGTAAAGTCATTATGCCATCAACCCTCTACTCCACAGTTAATTTAGTTTGTCATGAGTGATAAAATAACCTACTATGGCACAACTTTATCAATGTGCTTTTATTTTTATTAGTAAGCTTAGGAAAGGAGGAATTATTTATGGATCTATTACAATACTTTGAGATGTGTCAATTATATGGTTAAAGTACAATGAAAGGGCCCCAAATCTCATTTCATCTGTACAAACAGAAAGATTCCTCCTTAGAAACCAGAAACTGAGTGATTTGCTCTACTTCTATTTAAAACTGTATTTACTGTGGAAGTATAAAGGTCAGACATAGAGCATTAAAACCATGGTTCAACTACCAAAAAACTTATGTTTAGCCCAAAACTACACAATGCAACATTATAAAACGTCATGTCATAGTTGAGCACGACATTTGAGACTTGCACTTGCAGAATTCATTGAACTCTTCACTTCCAGAGACTGAGTCAAGAGGATCACAGGAACCCAAGAGGTCCCTTCAAACCAGAGATCCCAAAGTTTAGTGTCATACGAATCAGTTAAAATACATATTAATGATGAAAATGGGCACAATTGGGGGGGGGGGGGCAAGGTAATGGATTATGTGATGATTGGTTTTAATTATTAACTTCAGACATTCTAGAAATCCCCTGGGAAAAGTCTCAATGTCCAAATTCGTACGGTCTATTGTTATGTCTGTGAGGGGGTTATTTTGAGTAGCTGGAAGATTCACCTACTGTGGGTAACACCATTCCCCAGCCAGGAATGAGATGCAAGACTGCTTAAGAGTGGAGAAAGAGAGCCAGGCACAAGCACACATGCATTAATTCATTGCTCTCTGCACCTGGCTAGATGTAATATGATGAGATGCATCAAATTCCTGCTGCCTTGACGTCCCTCAATGATGACCATAACCTTGAATTGTGAGCCTAATAATAAAAAAAAAACCCTTTCTCCATTAAGTTGCTTTTATGGTATTTTATCACTGCAACAGAAAACAAAACTAAGGCTATTAATTGAAATTGGGACTGCGGCAACAGATGCACAACTAAGTATCCTAACAAATCATGCCATTGTTTGGATGGACTATACACAATATACATTACCTCTTCTCAGTCTTTTAGCCAATAGTATAATACATTCTACCTCTCCAAGTTTTCTAAAAAAGGCACTTTGCTTTACGTAGGAAAGCTACAGAAGCAAGTACTTTCTTTCACCAAATTATACCCCAGCACCAAGTGTTTCACATCTTCTGATTGCTTCCTGTCCCTAGATTTAAAGGGCTGCAAAGAGGTATCTCTTATTATAAACACACTGTTAACAAGAGCAATAAGCTTAGCATGTTTACCAGGCTATTATGTATGGATAGTTTGTTTAGTCCATTTAATCAATGTTTAAGAGCAGTGCCTCAAGGCAATGCACTGATTACAAAGATCACAACACGATGATACCTCTCAAACTCTTAAGTGACGATTCACACAGCCAAATGTGTGTAGTCCCTGTATTTCTGGGGAAGTAAAAAGTATAAAAGTTGGTAAATTCAGAATTTCAGAATCACCCATACACAAAAAACTACCACTGAGAAAAAGTACAACAAAATAAAACCATTTGGAGTTCTTGACTCTAAACAACTTCTAGTTTTTACCATTTCCAAAATTCCTTTATCTTCTAAATTAGAAAAAATTAAATTCCTCTATGCTAAACAGAAACCAAGCTCAAACTCTAACATTATTTTGCTTAATTCTATAGGCATGAACTATGGAGACAGGACACCCTAAGAGCAGTAGTTCTCAATCTTCCTAATGCTGGAACCCTTTAATATAGTTCCTCGTGTTGTAGTGACCCCCAATCATAAATTTTGTTGCTACTGTAATTCTGCTACTGTTGTGAATTGTAACATAAATATCTGATATGCAACCCCTGTGAAGGGTTATCCAACCCCCCTGAAAGATGAGCTACAGTTGATGTGCCCTGCTCTAGAGGATAAACGGTCAACAAGGGAAATTTAAAAGATGGTGCAACTAGTCAGTCTATCTATCATAGTGGTAGACAATTGTGTGATTGCACATAGTTGTCAGCATTTAGCACAACATTTATAATGTTTACTTAGAAAAAGGGAAACAAAAGCTGTTTTGCAGTATACAAATTAACCTCATTCTAAAAATTTAAATGACAGAAAATAATAAACTGGTTCTAAGAATTTTTTAATCAAGTGTGGTGAGATACATGCCTGTAATCTCAGCAATTAAAGACAGCTGAGGCAAAATGATGGCAAGTTCAAAGCCACGTCTCAAATGAGGTAAAAGGTATAGGCCAGTAATAGATCTCTTGCCAAGCATGTATAGGGAAGGCACCAGCAGGGGAAAAACACAAGCACAACCCACGTGGATAATTTCACTACGTAAGATATAAAAGTATTTTAGAAAACTGTATTTCAAGTCCCTGATTAACACTGATTATCCACTGAGAAAATAATGAAGTACACCACCTAGAACTTCCATGTGTTTATTATTTACTTCTAGCTAAGGCTCTTTTCCTTTTACCATTTTGACATTCCAAGGTAGCCGTAGTCTGAAGACTACATCTTGTACAAAGTATACATACAATCGATTATAGAAGGAAAACTTTCAAACGTTCAAAATACACAAAAATGTGGCTAATGTCCTTCCCAACCTTTGTCAGTAAAATGGGTGTAGTCCAGTCTAACCATAACCAGATTTGTAGTGTGAGAGAGGGGATGAATAAGCTGGGGTCCTGTGGTACAGACCCGGAACTATAGCTACCCAGGAGGCTAAAAAGGAGGAATGCAAGTTCAAGGCCAGCATGAACTACAGAGTGAGTTCAGGACCAGACTGGACAACTTACTGAGACTATAAAAACAGGGAAAAAAGGCATCAGAGCAGAGCTTTATGGCAAAAAACAAATGCCTATTATACTATGTACAAAGTTCTAGGCTCAATTTTCACTACAACCAAAATCAATTACTAACACTTCAAAGTTCCAACATGGACCTACTTGGTTGTGAAATAACTTTAAAAATAGAAAAAGAAAACAAAACACCAAAAGATTGCAAACCAACTTTATAGGAAGTCAAACTGACTATTGTACTACAGACCAACATAAAATACAGTAAAAGAAATGGTTCTCTATTATCTACACGATGAAGAATAACTTGTTCACTTTTCAATGTGCAAGGAAAAACTGCTTAATCTGTATTACTTAAAAAGTGTGCTGAAAAACAGTGAGAACCGAAACTTTTCCATAGGGTAGGGAGATGATACATACTAATGAACTTTATCTAGGCAGGAAAAGTATTTTTAAGTCCATTCTTTGTGGCACAGCTAACCATATCTGCGATCTTGCAGAGAAGGTAACCACTAGGTTTCAGTAAGAAGTATCTATTCAAATATTGCTTGGATCATTTGTCTGACATCATGTTTTAAACCTGGAACAGCAACGAAGCCAGTTACACGCTAATAGGTCACACTAAGGACTTCAACAGTCATTCTTACTACTTAGTTGGCCACCAGAAGAAACTTTATAATCAAAATTTACAAGACAAAATTTTAAAAAATATATTAATCATTCTTTGTCAATGAGCTACTGCCTATATTATTACCACGTGACAAATCAAATCCATACAGCTAATCAGCAAGCTAAAAAGGAAAAACCAAAACATTGAAAAATTAGGAAATCGTAAATACGAAACAAAACCCTCTGGAATAAAGGAGACATTGAAATGAAAATCTGTGAGAAACCACTTTAAGTACATACAATACTCATGTACTAGAAGAGGGCCTTCATAAAAATAGCCAAGACTCTCAAACATTTGAGATGCTGGCTTGGAGAGTGACTGACAGACAACAGCTGAGGTGGTTTTGTATTGATTTGTTAAGATCCTCGCACACTTTTGGGGGAAAAAAATAAGAAGGGGTCGTTACTATGGAAAAACTGTTCGGCCTTCGTTGTGCCCCCTCCCTCTTTTCCAATAAAAGCGCCTTACAAATTCCTCCACTCTAGAATCCTTTCTGTCTCCGAGGCCAGACTCCACAGCAATGCATGGCCTCTTCTCAAAGGAAACAAAAAGAACCTCGTGGAAGAGGACTTAAAAAACAAAAAAAAAACCACCTTCCCAAGGGCTGAAGAAACGCGTCCCTCCCACCTGCCGCCTGGCCTCGGTTCACCTTTGAACCCTTCCCTCAGAATTCGCTTTTCTCCCAGGCCGAGGGGCGATGAGGCCGCCCGCTCCCCAGGCCTCAGGCACCCCGGCCCGCCGCCTGCCCGGGTTTCCACGCGGGCGCCATGGGTTCGCAGGTCCCCGGGGCTGCACAACACCGGGGAGGCCCTGGAGTCCGCCACTACGCCGCGGGCGGGGCGGAGAGGAGCCTGGTGGGCCCAGCCGCCCCGGGGTCGTAGTGAGCTGCTCGCCTCCGTCCGCGCCCCCCACCCCGCCAGGCCTCACCGGCGCGCCCGCGCCCCAGCCCGCCGCTCCAGCCCGCCCGCCCGCGTCCCGGAGGCCTCGACCCAGGACGCTCCCGGGCAGGAGGCAAGCCAGCACTGGCCGCCTTGTTTCCAAACATAACGGAGCCCGGGCCCCGAGACCGTTAAACCGCGCCGAGGGCAGACGCCAGCAGCACGGACCGGCTGCCCCCCGCCGCCACCTGCCACCGTTCCTCGGCCCCCGGGGTCCCCGGCACCCCTTCACCCCGCTCCCAATTCCCAGCTCCCATCCCCGGCCGCCCCGCGGCCCGTACCTTGTAGAAAGCCCCGTTGGAGCCGCGAACCTCCACCGTCAGCTCCGCCATGTTGGAACCGCAAAGGCTGCTGGGAAGAGATTCTAGAAACTTTCCAACGCGAGGGGAGGAGGGGGGAGGGGCGAGCGCCGCGGGGGAGGGGCGGGCAGGAGGGCGGGACGCTCCCGGCCCGCTCCCGGGCTCTCCGCTAGCGGCGCCGCTCTGCGCGGGTCCTTGGGCGGCTACCCTGCGGCGGGCCGGTCCGCCCACGCCCACGCCCGCGCGGCCCGCCTCGCGCACAATGAGTGAGGCGGACCCGCCCGGCGCGCCACACTGGCCCCAGGAGCCGCGCGGCTGGCGACGCTCCCTACAGGGTCTTCCCGTCAGGAGCCGCGGCCTGGCGGGAGCTCAGGCTCTTCTAGAGCGCGTGGCCGGCCGACGCTCTCAGAAGTCTTCCCACATGGAGCCTCCCCTCTGGAGCCTCAGGCCCTCCCAGTGAAAAGCCTTTCCCAGGACGAACCAGAGGAACGCCGCTACGGCTCGGTGTTTGCCTCAGGCCTCACTCAGTTCACGGGCCTCGCCCCGCGCGAAGGCAGCTCACCACCTGTCACCGACCAAGCACAGTTACCTTAATACGTTATTAAAGGCTCGGGAAACCTAAGCTAATTTCTTTGGGGGGGGGGCGATTTTGTTTGAGACAAAGTTCTATAGGCCAGGTTGGCCTTGAACCCACAGAGCTGCTTCTGCCTGGGTGCTGGGATTACTTTTAAAAGATTCTTTTTTAAAAAACAATGGCGAAGTGTGTTACCCCCCCACCTTAGGTAACACATGAGAAGTTTTACAAATATGATCCAAGGACCTATTGGATTATGTATTGTGTGACTTGACCAGAAACTCCCCTAGCTCTAAAAGCTTTGTGGCACTCATACTTAGTTTGATAAGTTAATACCAACTTCTGAAAGCAAGGCTTTTGGAAATAGTACTTAACGAATTCATTTGTTTGTGCATCTTTTCATGACTGTTTTCTAAGAAACTTGATATATTTGTTTTTGCTTTATTTGGGGCTCCCTGTTTAACCCAGCTAGCCTCAAGTTCACCACCTTGCCTCCCACCAAGAGTCAATTGGGCTAACAGGCTTGTGTTCCTGCTCAGTTCCCCACAGTTATCTGTTACTTTGAGACAAAAGTCTCACTAAACAGCCTAAGATGGCCTTCGATTTACTTACCATTCTTTTGTCTCAACCTCCAGAGTGCTGGCTTTACTGGTGTGAGCCCCCACCCCCAGCACCTTGGTTTTTATAAAGTACATTTTCGTTACACAAGATTAGCCCATTTTAAAATGTACAATTCAGCATCTATCACCATGATCAATATAAAACATTTTCATTACAAACAACAAAAAATAAATAAGTAACACTTGTGCTTACCGTTGTTCCCCAGTTCACCTGAACTCCCTGATTCTAGGACACTCCCCATCTGTTTCCTATGTATAGATTTGCCTAGCTTGATCTCACATATGAGTGGAATCATGTGAGGGCTTTTGTGATTGGCTTCTTTCACTCAGAATATTATTTCAAGGTTCATGTTATAACAATAATGACCAGGTATCCTTTTGTCACAGTATTACACTGCATAAACATACCATGTTAGACTGTTGATGTGGTTTTCTTTTTCTTTTTTTAATATATTTGAGGGTCGGGTGCAGAGGATTGAAACATGGTCCATACCATAACCATATATACTCTGCCACTGAGATACACACATCACTATCTTCTTTAGCCCTTTATGTATTACTCATTTGAAGGCCTATGCTTGTGATTTTGTGGAGAATACAAGATCAGGAATCCAAGGCTATCCTCAGCTACAAGACAAGTTTTGAGCCAGTCTGAGCTACGTGAGACCCTGTCTCAAATCAAAAGAACTCCACTGTTAGCTGAGTCTAATTCTCTTTTAAATGTTAGAAGTAGCTGCTGGAGTAGGTGCCCATATAGTGTCAAACACCTTCAGTTCTAGTTCTCAGAAGGCACAGGCAGGAGATCTCTGGATTCAAGGCCAGTCTGGTCTACATAGCGAGTACCAGGCCAGCTAGAGATACATAGATCCTGTCTCAAACCAAAAAGCTGGAGCAGGAGAGATGGCTCAGTGGTTAAGAGCACATGTTCTTGGAAAAAACTGGGGTTTGATCCCCAGCAGCATGGCAGCTCATAACCGTGTATAACTCCACTTCCAGGATATCCAATGCCCGCTTCTGATCACCGAGACTACCAGAGTCACATACTGGCAGAGACTTATGTGAGTAGATGTGGACTGTTGACACACTATGCCAAAGGACTCCAAGGCCTCAGACCCATGGTACAATTTGGCAAAGCTTACCCATATGGACCAGGCTCAGGAGGAATGGCAAAGTTTTCATTACTGATCAGTATGTGAAAAGACAATCGACTTTGGCTTCCTCCTCGTAGAGGAGACCTACAAACTCCTACTGAAATTAGCTAGCCCCTTTCACTTTATCGTACCTAGTAATAAACACGCTGAGTTCTAGGTTACAGAGATAGTAGAACCCCACCTGGCCTGGCCTTGCTATATGTGTGTTTCTGAGCCTGTCAGTTTTAGTTTTCATCTCTCAATGCCTCTAGTAAGGAACCCAGGATGCAAGGTGCACCAGTCACAGCACTGCTATAAAAATTCATGCTTACGTTTTTGAAGTTCATCTCTATTGGCTGAATACCAAGAAATCCACTTGCTGGCTCCTATTGTGATAACTCAGTGTTTAACCACTGGAGAGATTGTCACACTTTTCCAAAGAGGCTCCGTGCTTGGCCACCCACAGGCAATGTGTCCTCTGACTTTGCTTTAGGAAGGTCTCCCTTTCCCATCTTTCTCTCTCCCTTCCCCTTTCTTGTTTTGGATGTTGCTTGTTTGTTTGGAATAGAACTGCATAAAGTTCTACTTGACCTAACCCAAAGGATTCTGGATGTTCTAACTTTGAACAATAAGAGTTGGTCTTCAGCCCTTGTATACTGAAAGTATTTTAATTTAGACTCCAGCCAACATTTCACTACTACTTTTAGGTAGAGTGGTTCTTATTTTAAAACCGAGCTTATCTAGCATCTAGTGACCCTTGTAAGTTCACAGTGCTAAGAGACAGAAGTTAAGATGTAAACCAACCCTTCATTTCCTGATTCTAACAGTCATATTAGTAATTGCAGCTCCCATAATCACATTTACAACGACAGGTGGCATAAATTTAAAACAACTTCATCATTTACTATTATTACTTTAGTGTGCCTGCATGGGCACATGTGTGAGCGTATGGATGAGAGTTTGGGGAACAACTTTATGGAGTCAGTTGTCTCCTTCCATCTTTACATAGGTTCCAGAGATTGAGCTTAGGTCTCCAGGCAGCAAGCACTTTTACCCATTAAGCCTGCTTGTCCTCCCTCAGTTCCTTTACCAGACCATAGAACACAGAAGTCATTCTGGAATTGTCTGTTTCGATGACATCTCAAATCAGCCAAATGTGTAAGAATTCAGAAGGAGATAGAATAAAGTCGAAGGGTTATACGGAGGAGCATAGCCGACGGTAAAGCAGCTGCAGAGAGAGTCTGTTCCCAGTAGGGTGATTACTTTCCCCACCTGCTGTTGTGTTAATTTGGATAAGAACCTCCCTCGCCTCCACCAGACTGCTAGATTTGAATACTTGGTTCCCAGTTGGAGTAACTCTTTGGCAAGGCTTTGATGGAGGAGGTGTGCCATTGGGTTCAAGCTCTGAGGTTTCAAAGGCTCTGAGGTTTCCCAGTTAGTTCTCTCTGCCTCATGGTTGTGTCTCAAGATTAGGTTCTAGGCTACTGTTCCAGTGCCATGCCTGCCTGGCTGCCTACTGCCGTGCTCCCAGCTGCCACAGTCAGAGTCACTCTCTGAAACTGTAAGCACCACAGAAACTCTTTCTTCTGTAAGTTATCTTGGTCATGGTGTCTTATCAAAGCAATAGTAAAGTAACTAAGATAGAATTTGGTACCAGGGAGCAGACTATTGCATTGATAGGATGGATTGTGTTGTTTTGAGAAAAAATGTGGAGGACTTTGGACTAAGAAAATGGTTGAACGCTGTGAGATTTAACAGGCCATCCTAGAAGGATCTTGGAATACAGTATTGCTGAAGCAATGGGCACTATGGGGGGCCCAGTTCCAATAGTTTCAGACAAGGCAATATAAGCTACTAGGTTAGGAACCATTCTTGTGATATTTTGGCAAAGGATATAGCTGTCTTTTGCCTAAGATCATAAAAATTTAACTGAGGTAAAATTGAAAAGTTTTGGACTAATTTTCTTGATAGAGATTTCAACACAGCCTATAATTTTGACTCTGTCACATGGTTATTAGAAGTCACTCTTATCCAGGTCTACATGAAAAAGAGCTAGCAGAGCAAAAAGAAATGTAGAATGTACAAAGCACTAGGCAATTGGATATTAGAACCAAAGCTTGTGCTGAAAGAGACAAGGAGAGGCCTGATTTAAAAAAAAAAAAAGAAGAAGAAAGAAAGAAAGAAAGAAAGAAAGAAAGAAAGAAAGAAAGAAAGAAAGAAAGAAAGAAGATAAATAAAGAAGTATTGTGTGGGAAGCCATTGGGACGGCTTGGCAGGAATCTGACATTGGCCAAGGACAAGGAATTGGGCTTTAGACAAGAATCTGACTTTGGGCCATGACAAGGAAGTAAGTTCAGGCAGGAGTCTATTTTTAGGCTAAAACAGAGAAGTAAATTCAGTCAGGAATCCTAATCTTAGGCTAAAACAGAGAAGTAAATTCAGTCAGGAATCCTAGTCTTAGGCTAAAACAAAGAGGTAAGCCTCAGGCATGAATATGACTGTGGGCTAGGACCAGGAAGTAGGCTCAGATACTTTGTCATCCTGATGAGACCTTAGAACCAGCGATCATGAGAGTGATCGTGGGGTGATCACGGGACTCTGTATATTGCCCGGGTTTGTTCCTTGACTGTTTGTTTCTATTGTAATGTTGGTTCCTCAAACCTAGAACTGACCTAAATACTTGCATGTAATTAAAAGGGTTTAAAAGAAAAGTTGAATTAAACAAACCTGCCTTCAG